CGTTAATCTTTTAATTCTTGAATGTGCATCTTTCTTTTCTTCTTGTATAAGTGAATTAAAGGCTGAACTGTCTGCTCCCTCTCAGTGAGGTGTAGACCCCATCAGGCACAATGGTGAAGATTGGAGTCAATGGGTAAGTTTCTACACCTGTCGTTGTGCAGGTGTCCTTCTCATTGGCTTAATTAACAATCACTACCCCATGTGTTGGAAAGGTGTTTGGTTTGATGCTAGTAAAACTTGGGTAGGTCCAACTAAGTGTTGCATTTTATTTGTATATCTTTTAATAAAGCTCAAAGTAGATAATCAAGCAGGCATTTTAGTAGAACCCAGATAAGATTCCTGACTTTCTTTGGATGTTTTATTTGTATCCAGGTATTTTAACTTCATCCCCTGTTGTCTGAATGCTGTATTGACACAAGTGTTTATGTCAAAGGTTGAAAGAACGTTTCTAAAACTGGACTTTAATCTAATTGTAGGGCCTTCGAATTAGTTTTCCTCTAGTGACATATTGTCCTCTTGTGGTTTTGCTTATTGGCTCATGAAGTAAAGATTTAATCAGTGGCAAAAGCAGTTCAAACTTTGAAACAACTTGTTGGAAATGTGCTAAACAAATGCCTTATGGAGGCCAAAATACAAATTGATTGGCAATGTTTGAAAGCTGAAACGGCAATTTCTTGTCAAGATGGTAAAAGGGCAGCTTGTTAAATGAACATAAATTAAACGAGGCTTGAAATCTAAAAATGCCAGACACTTAAAGGTGTCTAAATATTTAGCTGCCTCACAGAGGACAGCTGGCGTGCTGCCGGAGCATCGTCTGAACCCTAAAAGCAGGACTGGACCTGTCTATTCTCTGGTTATTTATAGTCTGGTGGTGTCACAGTTGGCGTCCGCTCTTCAACAACACCCTCCTGTCAGTATCGCTGCTCTCTTCAGCTGTCACATTCCTCTTCATTCTCCCCTCGTCTAATTTTAACTCCTTAACCTTTCCACTGGAGATCAGAGATCTGCCGACTCTGTGTGGACGCCGCTCGGACTCGGAGATCACAGCTGAAACATTTTCTCTTCCTCTTGTGGAGCAGCAGCTGCTGCAGAGCCGCAGGGAGATTTGGCTCGTGGATTTTGGACACGTACCTCACAAACAATGAGGCTCAGGAACAGACGATGGGCTCCAGTCCATTTTGGCCTTCTGGCTGCTCAGCAGCTTTCCAAAACAAAGGAAACCTGCATGCTTGTGGCTCTTCCCCCTCCTGTCAAAACTTTGTCAATGATGGCAGCGCCTGACAACAAGTTTGAGAGGATAACTTGAGGGTTTCTGCACCTGACAGTTAAAATGATTCACTGATGAGACTGTAGTGTAGCTGGTTGTGTTTAAAGCTGCTGGAATTGGCAAATTTCATAAGTGTCCCCAATGGTACATCAAACCATACTAGGTGAACATTTTAGTCTCATTTATGCCAGTGTTTTGTTCTTGACCCCTTACCAACTTTAAGGATATGTACACTACTGACTTTGCCACGAACTAGACTGTGCAAGCAGCCTCCATGGCAGCAAGCAGCCTCCCACCTGAAGTTAAACTTGCTTTTACTGTGCTAGTGATTTCTAATATCAGTTAAGTAAGAACTTTATATTCAGTATTCACTTTAAACTCTAAATGTCATGAGGTGAATGGGTTTTAAGAGAACACCAGTTGATGAATATGGACTTTATCTGATATGAGCAGGTTCCTACAGATATGAATTTTCAACTTGCTCCCCTTAAGACTTGCCTTGTTTTGCTATTGTCCAGATTTCCTCTTACTCAACCCATAAAGTTCTCTGGCAGTTTCAAGGGAGTCTCTGCTTCCTGATACATCAAAGCTGATAAAGTCTTTTTGTGTGCAGGCTGTATATTTGCCTCCTGCTACAGGATACAGTTGCAAACAATGTACAAACTATGTAATGTGAACTGAAGGCATGCAGTGTTGCATGACAAAACTCTGGTGCTCAATGGTTCATGCCACAACTC